TGTAAGAATGGTATTGCAAATATTAAGAGAAAATAAATTGTATGCCAAACTTAATAAATGTGAATTTTGGCTTGAACAAGTGACATTTTTAGGACATGTCATATCAAAGGAAAGTCTATCAGTTGATCCTTCAAAGGTTGAAGCCGTTGTTAATTGGAAACAACCAAGTAATGTGACTGCAGTTCAAAGCTTTTTGGGATTGGCAAGATATTACAAAAAATTTGTAGAAGGATTTTCTCGAATCGCAACTCCATTGACACAGAAAAATGTCAAATTTGAGTGGACAAGTGAATGTGAAGAGAGTTTTCAAGAATTAAAAGTTCGATTAACTTTGGCACCTATTTTAACAATTATTGAGGGGAGTGGGGAATTTGTGATTTATAGTGATGCTTCACATAAATGCTTGGGCTGTGTATTAATGCAATATGGGAAAGTAGTGGCATATGCATCCAGACAGTTGAAAGAATATGAGAAAAATATCCAATTCATGACTTGGAGCTGGTTGCAATAGTATTCGCTTTGAAAATGTAGAGGCATTATCTATATGGTGAGCAATTCGAAATATACACGGATCTTAAGAGCTTGAAATACATCTTCTCTCAAAAGGATTTAAATATACGGCAGGTAAGATGGATGGATTTCTTAAAAATTATGACTGTACAATCCATTATCATTCAGAAAAAGCTATCGTTGTGGCCGACGCTCTAAGTAGAAAATCTACGAGAGTCTTAGCTCACCTAATGATCCAAGAAATGAGATTGTTAGAGGAAATAGTGGATTGGCATCCGACTCCGTCCATTAATGGTGTGGTAAGTATGATTGCCAATATTAAGGAAGAATCCCAATTAATCCAACAGATTCGATCGGCACAAAAGAAAGACCCTCAGCTTATAACAATTGTAGAAGAGGTGAAGCTACGAAAGAGAGAAGAATTCTGTATATGTTATGAGGATTTGCTAAGATTCAAAGGTTGGGTTTGTATCCCGAATGATGAGAGTGTGAAGAAAACTATCTTGGAAGAAGCACATCACTCTCGTTATACGATACATCCCAGAAGTATTAAAATGTATCAGGACCTGAAGAAAGCCTTTTGGTGGAATAATATGAAAAAAGAGGTAGCACTATTTGTGTCTAAGTGCCTAACATGCCAGTAAGTAAAAGCTGAGCATCAAAGGCCCGCTGGGTTGTTGCAGCCTTTACCCGTGCTAGAGTGGAAGTGGGAGCACATCTCTATGAATTTTGTCTCTGGCTTGCCTAGAATAAATTCAGGACATGATAACATTTGGGTCATTGTGGACCTGCTGACCAAAGCAGCCCACTTTCTACCGATTCGCACGACGCACACTTTAGATCGACTGGCCCAGTTGTACATTAAGGAAATAGTGCGATTGCATGGAGTTCCAGTCAGTATTGTATCGGATAGGGATATTCGGTTTACTTCTAATTTTGGACTAGGTTACAGTCAGCCATGGGGACGAGACTCACCTTTAGCACTGCCTTTCACCCCCAAACTGATGGACAATCGGAGAGAACCATCCAAACCTTAGAAGATATGCTGAGGGCCTATGTCATTGATTTTGCAGGAAGCTGGGATGACCATTTACCCCTGATTGAGTTTGCTTATAATAATAGCTTCCAAGCCAGTATTCAGAGGCACCATATGAAGCCCTGTATGGGAGGAAATGCAGGTCACCCATCTGTTGGGACGAGGTTGGTGAAAGAAAGCTTTTGGGGCCAGAAAATTGTCCAGGTAACCAGAGATAAGATAGCATTAATTCGAGAAAAGCTCAGGACAGCTCCGAGTCGGCAAAAGAGTTATGCCGATAACCGACGGAGAGATCTTGAATTTGAGGAAGGTGATCGAGTTTTCCTAAAGATCTTACCAATAGAAGGCATTATGAGATTCGGCAAGAAAGGAAAGCTGAGCCCATGTTACATCGGACCATTTGAAATCCTGAAAAAAGTCGAAGGTGTCGCTTATAGACTTGCCTTACCACCCGAATTGGCAAATGTCCATAATGCCTTCCATGTATCATCACTACGAAAATATCAGCCTAACCCATCCCATATCTTGAAATATGAACCTTTACCGATCAGGAAGGACTTATCCTTCATTGAGCAGCCAATTTTGATACTGGATAGAAGAGTACAAGTGTTGCGCAACAAGGAGATTCCTTTGGTCCGTATGTTATAGCAGTACCATTCAAGAGAGGAATCGACTTGGGAACGAGAAGACGATATCAGAGAAAAATATCCCTTTTCTTTTTCAGTAATCAGGTACACAAATTTAGAGGACTAAATATCTTTAAAAGGGGAAGAATGTAACAATCCTAAACTTTCAAATAAATAAATAAATAAATATATATATATATATATTAGTGGTGTTAATAGAAATAAAATAAAATAAAATAAAAAAATAAAATACTTACTGGAAATAAATAAATTTGAAGTGATAGTTCATTATGTCGAAAATAATTAGTATTCTCTCATAATGATTAGTATTATGCCCAATATTCATTGGCCGATAACTTCACATTTTTTGTCTTGAGGATGCCAAATAATAGGAGCATTAACTTTTTATAAAAATGTTTCAATAATAACAAAAGTTTTGGATGGTGCAATTGTATTTGGGTGGACCTTAGGTCCGCCATCAATTGTTTTAAAATTTTAGATGGAAAGTTGGTTTTGGTGCAACTCAACAACCATGGGGCGTGACACTTCACGAATGCCTTTTTCTTCTCTCTCTCCTTTCATACACCACCTCTCCCGTTATCTCTCTCTATATCTCCTCCTATCTACGCATTCAGTTAACCCACAAGTTGAGCATAGAGGAGAGTCTAAATAAGAATAAGAGAGCGAGAGAGAATGGGAGGAACGGCCCTATAATGAGCTTAGTAGGATTACCCTGTGGTGTCCCATGGAGCATACTACCTTTGAAGATCCATGGTCATCAAAAGTAAGCGATCTCATTGTCTCGAAGGATAATCTTTTTAGTAAAAATTGTGATATTTTATTTATTGTAAAATATTCTAAATGCTGTAAATTATTAGGAATAAATGTGATATTTCCGCTTTTAGTAAAATTGTGAGATTTCTTTCTACTGTTTTTTGAATATTTAGACATTGTAAATTTTATATGCAAATGATTGCCTTATTGTTTGAAAACTAATATTTTTGCAATTGATTATAGCATCGTCTGTGAAATGTTTATTTGTGAATTGACATCCCATAAATTGTGATAATTCTGTATTCTTGAATTTTTATAAGAGTTTTTCTATACATATTAGATTGACAATTATGCCTAAATGTCTTTACGAACTGATACCTTTCTAAATTTGAGCCCAAAATATTTGATTGGTTATTTTGAAATGTTATTGAAAGTGATTGTTATTAATGGTTTTAGTGAAATTCATATTAATAATTTAAGTGATATGTTGAGTACATGATATTGCTGCTTTTGAATGTTTAAAGAGATTTAGAAATACTTTAAGTATGCAAGTGGACTCATCCGGTTCGCCGGTGAGGTATAAGTAGATCTATCTGGTACGCCGGTAGGGATTAAGTGGACTCATCCGGTACGCCGGTGAGGTATAAGTGGATCTGCAGGGATTAAGTGGACCTATCTGAGACGCCGATAGGGATTAAGTGGACCTATCAGGACGCTGATGGGGTATATAGATGACCTACTTGGGATGCCAATAGGGTATTTTGTGAAATATTTTAAATTATGCACTACCGTAAAAATGTTATACACATTTCAATTATTCGAATTATACCTAATTATGCATTTTTTAAGGTGAAACTGTTAATGCATTTCTGTTAATAGATCTCCTTTTTGAAAATATTGATATCTTTCATCCATGATTATTTTTAGGATTATGATGATCACTTACTGAGTAGCCAAACTCATCAAATTATGATAAACATTTTTTCAGGATAACTGCGGTTTCATTTTGCGTGCTCGTCAGGATCAACTCTGAAAGATATTGTAGTTGTGTTTAAACTTTCTTTTGTTACTTTGTAAGAA